GCGGGGCCGGCCGGGGCCGGGGCTTGGGGGGCGGGGCTGGGGGGTGCGCCTCCGGGTAACTGTAGTGGCCTGGTGCTGCCAGGGCGGAAAAAGGGGGAGGGGAGAGCAGGTCAGTGGCAGCCCCCCACCAATCCCTGCACTCCTCCCCACGGCAGGCAGTCCGTCCCTCCATCCCTCCCAACTGAGCCAGAGGCCTCTTCACTGTGCCCCAGCCCCACCTGGAAAGAGAACCGAAAGGAGTTAGTGTCCCAGAAACCCCTCACCCCTCGCCCTCCAAGCCCGCCAATGTTGGTGCCCTGGAAAGGAGAAGCCAGCGGGTGAGGCCCTGTGTCTGAAGGAGAGAAAGGGGCGTGGGAGGAGAGAATGTGAGCTACAGTGAGGTGGGCGTCCCTCTGTCACAGGAAAAGAAAGATAAATCCAGGAATCTGTTAAGAGACCTTGAGGGTTAGTGGAAAATTTCTGCTGTGAGCCCTAATCCCCCAAACCCCAGTCCTCCAGTCGACGTAAGTGCTGATCTCTAATCTGCCGAATTCCAGTCTGCAAGTTCTGACCACTGACTGAGCGCAAGGGCTGTCCCTGTGCCCAGGTTTGGATGGGAATCTCCCCCACCTGCGTGGGTCAGCATTTTCTTATTTCCTGCTTCTCTCCATGAGGCGGCTCCTCTCAAACTCTTACCCACGGCCTTCCTACAGGACTCCTGGCACCTGAGGACTCTGTCTCCCAAGTGCCCTTGGTACAGAGCAAGGCCCCCACCCCCACCCCGGGCAGGTGCTTTGGGACTGCCACACACCCTGTCAAGTGCATTCAGAGGAGCCTGTGAGCCCTAGACTCGCAAGGAAGGGGCTCTTATGCTCCAAAACTTCCCTAATCCTTGGCCAGCCATACCTGTATTGGCCCTGACGGAAGCCGGGTAGCTTACTGCCCGGCCCCGCTCAGCCGTGACGGTCACCACGTATTCTACTCCTGGCATCAGGCCAGTCAGCAGCGTCCCGTCTGCCTCAGGGGGCACTTCCAGTCGCACTCTCTGGTTGCCAGCACTGACGTAGGACACCACGAACCGGTCCACCTCAGCCTGGGGGCGCATCCAGTTGAGCTCCAGCGTGGTTGGTGTCACTGCCACCACACGGAGGTCCTGGGGGCCATCAATCACTAGCCAGATTAGAGAGAGGAGGGGTCAGGTGGGAGTCTGGTTCTTCACCAGCTTTCCTTCTCAGAGCCTGGCCCCTCACCAGTCCCTGCCTTTGCCCTCTTGAGGGGCATATTCCCAGCCATTCCTCTCAAATACAGATCTCCACCCAGGACCCCATCCCAAAGCCACAGCTCTCACTGGTGGTGATGGTCTTGGAGGCAGGAGGGCCCCAGTTAGTCCCTCGAAGAGCACGGACAGTGACTTGGTACTCCTGACCGGGGGCCAGTCCTCTCTGGTCATAGGCTGAGGCAGAGCTGGGCACCCGTGCTGTGAACGGGGGGCTCTCTCCCTCTGTCTGCAAGAGAGAGAACACCAGGTGGATCAGGGCTGGCACTCTTGCCGCTCAATCCCTCTCATCCCTTCTTCTTCCAAATCCAGGCAGGGTCGACACAGGACTGTGCAGAACTTGACCCTGTATGGGTGGTATCAGCAAACACATCTCGAACACTTACTCCATGCCAGGTACTGTTCAACGCAATACACAAATACAAACTCAGTTAATCATCTTAAGAATTCCCACTGGGCAGATGAGGAAACTGAGGTACAAAAGGATTAAGTGCCTTGTCCAAGGTCACCAACACCAAGAAAGTATCAGAGATTTCAACCCAGGCAGTGCGACCTCAGAGTCCCCTGTCATGGGCACTACCTTCTTAGCCTGTTCATCATCTGTCTGCCAGAATCCTACACGACACACGCCAGGACTCTCCTTCCGGCTTTCCCCCGGCAACCCTGACCACCTGGGCACGAGGAGGCTTCTCCTAAGCCCGCTCCTGTCACAGCAGATGAAGTAGGTGAGGGATCACTTCAAGTCTTACTTTCTCCTTAAAACACCTTCCCCAGGCTGAGCCACCCCACAGACACCTGCCCCTGGCTGTGTAATTTAGGTGTGACCCATGTCAAGTCATTTCCTTTTAGGTAATTTTCTTGTCTCCTCAGCAGGGTCATAGGCTCCTCACAAACAAGGCTCACCTCCTCAAAGTTCCACAAATACATTTTCCAGTTTTGTACCTGGCATCATTCTGGACACTGGAGACACAAAAATAGAAGATATGGTCCCTGTCCTCAGCTAGCTTATACTCTAGTAGCTAAATGTATGACCATGTCTTATGTTTTATTAGATCCCTACCCAGATCCCCATGTGCAGCACATGTCTGTGAGAGAGCAACCCTCCTTCGAGTATACACTTAAGGTATTATGATCATTTGTGGTGACCCCACAGGCAATCTGCCAGTCCCTGCTCCAGGCAGGGACTCCCGGAGTGCCAGCCACTGGGGCAATAGGAGGAATGGACATCTGTGAGCCGTCTAAGAGTCCAGCACTTCCCAGGGCTGTCGAGCTAGGACAGCTAATAAGGACACTCTGTTCTGGTTAGCTATGTTGGCTGTTATGGAGACACCTCTGTTCGGCCAAGTAGGATTGGAAATTTCAAAAGGTACTCTCCTAAACTAAGAGAATTGTGGAGAAATCAACATAGTAAATACCAAAGTATAAAACCAGATGAGAGGCCACGTAGAGATTTCTGGGTTGAGGATGAAATAAAGCTCTGTCAGAGTTTTCTTGGCTGAAAAGTTTTCCAGGGCACACAGGATCCCCCATCCCTCTCCCACTCACTCTGCCCTTGGATACTCCGGCCTAGGAGGCCTTGGATTGGCCTCAACTCAAGCCTTGTGGGGTCCCCATCCTTCCCAGAACTTTCTCTCTTTCCCCTTACTCCCCCAACCCACCACAAACACACACACACACGCACACACATCCCTTGAGTGTCTCCTGTTGATGTCTGGTCCTTTCAGCAAGATAAGCTGGTCCCGTTTTCCTTCTCCTTTCGACCATCTATGTGAACCTTTTAGACACTTCATAGTCCCTCCTGAGATCCATTTGGGAACAGTCCCCTGAAAGTCCCACTGTGGGTCTAATTCACATCTCTCAGTACCATCTGTCTGGCCCAAGGCCAATTGTCTCACCAGATGCTGGCAGCTGGCTCTGCCACTTGGTGAAAGCTTGGCTGCTTCTCTGATTGTGCTTGGCAAGTTTCTAACTCTATTCTTGATATCAATCTCATGGCCCCAGGTGGAGGACTCCACCTTGGCTGGTCCCAGGGGTATATACCTCACCCTCATCCGCCTTTTCAGACCAGACCCAAACACAAACTTTTCTGAGGCTACAAGTTTGTCCCAATGAAAACACGGCATAGCCCCAATTTCCAGGCTGCAGAATATACCCAGACAGGGAATATGTGAGCCTCATTCTGTTCAGGGGTTCACCTCGCCCCATTTCCTCATGCTTTCTCTCATATTCATAGAGGAGCCTGCATTTTGCAAATTAACAACATTCCTTAAATTGGTGGTCCTTGGGTTTGGGGTGCATCAGAATCACCTGGAGGGCTTGTTATAACACAGGTTACTGGGCTCCACCCCCTAGAGCGGTTGACTCAGTAGATCAGGGAGTGTAGTCTGACAATTTCCATGTCTGATGCCCCAGGTGATGCTAACGCTGCAGGTCCAGGAACACACTTTAAGAACCACTGAGTCAGAGTAACAATGCCACGTATGCAGGGAAAGGAGGAATGTTCCTCTTTTGTGTTCTGAGAATCATTCCAATAACTAGGTGTGTCCCTTGGCCAGGAATAGTAGACTTTGGGCTTTGAGAATGAAGTGTTTCTGGAAAAGGGGAGGGGATAAGGTAGAGAGAGACTTCTAGGAAGATGGTAGTGGCCAGAGCACAGCCAGCTACTGAATATACTGTGTGCCAACTGCAATGGATAGAGAGTTCTGGCCAGGGCCCAGTCACAGAAAGCATCGTTAGAGGGCCAGTAGCACAGGCTGATGTGGAGGCCAAGAGAGGTGTCCGGAGACCAATTTTCCAGGAGCATTTTCCACACCCAAGCTCAGAGAGAACCCAGAATGTGACAGAGGCCCATACTCAGAGCAGAGCAAATGAGCTAAGAGCATGACCAAGCTGGGCACAGGCCAGCTCAACATCAACCCGGCCCCATCGAGAGGGAGGAAGCCAAGGGCTTCGGCCGAGAAGCCGCACCTTTTGAACACACCAAAGTTGAGTTCACATTTACTGAGAGCAGGAGACGATGCTGCTCTGCAAGCTCCTTCCATCTCAAGTGTTTATTTTAATTCTTCTTTCCCTGAAGTTTCTTAGGAAAGTTCCCTTTAAAAGTCCTACCCTCTTGAGATTAGAACTATGTAAATAATATACACACAGAAGAAGAAAGTGGGAGAAACACTTAAAAATGTTAACAGGGCTTGTTTTAGTGTGAAGCAGCCAAGGATTATTTGTTTTTTTATCTAGTTGCCAAATTCTTATCTTGTGATTAAATTATGTTTATAACTGAAAAAAAATTTGTTTTTAAACAGAAGAAAAAAATTTAAACATCTTGATTGTGCAGCAAAGTGGGTATTTCTGCCTCTGCTTCCACCAGGGGGTAAGGAGAGACAGAACATGGTAGGGGTCTGGGCTGAGGGTATAATAAGACTTAGATTGATGTGGCCAGTCGGGGTGGGGATGACAGCCAGCACGTCTGAGTTGTCCCTTCTGTCCTAGAGGCTTCCTAGGTCTAGGCCCTGGGAGTTAATTATTTTTCCAGAGTCCTGACTGTGTAGAGATGACAGTGACATGGCCTACCCACCCATGGCATTTGTGGGATGATGCAGAAAAACAAAAATTGGACTGTAAAAATGTCAGATGATTTGGAACTAGGAGACCAGACACATCATAAAAGCCCAATCTGCATAAAGGGAGATCGCTAATGAGAGGCCACAAGGCTTTGTCCTTAGAGTGCCCCCCAAATATTTTAAGAGTGATCTAGGAGACAGAAGGGAGGTTTTTCAATGCACTGATGACATGGAGGCGGGGAACCAGCTCACAGACTTAAATTATTGCAACAGCCTAGACAGCTTGGCCCAAACCAAAAAAGATAACACTGAGCAATGCTAAATGCAAAGGCCTATATTTAGGCTACAAAAAGTGTATGTAGTTGAGTGTCTTCTTTTCTCCTTTCTTATTTTTTTGTTTATATTTTCTATGCTAAGCTATATGACTTCTATAATAAAAAGTTACTTAAAAAAAGCAAAGATGATCAAAACAACTGACAGTTTGTGTGACCACAAGTTCAGTTGCATCAGTTCTGAGAACAATGTCAGTGTATCCAGAGTTAGTTGGGTGAATGACAGGGCTCCTCTCTGACCCCACACTTTTGGAGGGCACGTGCACAAAGCAGGTGGCATTAGAGGAGGAAAACCAAGGAGTGAAGGATTCAGAGAACCAAGCCTTTAGGAAAAGGGATGGAGAAACCAGAATGAAGGGTGACATAATGGCTGATGTCCCCAGTACCTGAAAGCCTGTGGTCTAAGATGAAGGGAAGGCGAAAAACACATTCCAACTGCTGGTGAAGGTCTAGCTAGGGCCAATGGATGGATGTTAGACTGAGGCAGATCTGGATTCAGCAACAACAAAAAGAACTGACTATAGTGATAAGCTGGATGGGACAATCTTGGGAAGCACTGAGCTCATGGTCACCAGGGTGTTCCATCCATAAAGGACCAATGCTGCTAAGGCCTTCTGCCCTCAGTGTGGGACAGGATGAGAAGGCCTTTAGAACAGCTTCAGGACTCAACCACTGATTACCTGGAAGTCCTGCTTGAGGTGAGCACCCCCTCCCCCAGCCCTGCCACCCAGTCCCTCCTGGAGCTTGGTTCTCACCGTGGGGATGAACTGAATTTCATAGGCATCCACATTGCCGGGAGCCCGGGTCCACTCTGTCCGAACCGTCGTCTCCTCCAGGAGGTGCATCCTCATGCCCTCAATGGCTGGCACCTCTGCCCAGGAGAATAGGGTATGAGAAGCTGCTCAGCCCAAGGAAGCCCTCCACCCCTACCCCCACCACCACAGGCTCCTCCTACTCAGGCCTCTCTAAGAGATCCCTCCAAGTTCCCACTGTCACTGGGGGTGGGGCAAAGCTGGCAGAGGCCTAAACGGGCCCTGAGTCTCCTTCACTGCCTCCCATCTCCAGACTCTTCCTAAAAGCAACGAAGGGGACCCCCAGTCTGCTCAGCAGAGATCTGAAAGCAGGTCCTGCCTGCGGTCATGCCCCTATGGTTCTGCTGCCCCTAGAGGACAAGGCTTTCTGGCTCCTCTGACTCCCCCACCTCCCCACTCCAATATATGACCTTCCTTCACTCTTCCTCCAGGTTCCTGGGCTTCTAGGCATCAGACTCAGGCTTTTACACTGGCACCAGTTTTTCATTCCCTGACCAAGCATATCGAGGAAGGCTGCCTACTCACCTTCCCCGCAGTCCTCTCCTGCATAGCCATCTTGGCAGATGCAGCGGCCCTCTTGACAGTCTCCCCTGCCGCGGCAGTCCCCGGGACACGTCTGGATGGCGCAGTCAGGACCTCGGAAGCCCTCGACGCATACACACTGGCCTTCGCGACACAGTTCCCGGGGCCCGCAGCCCCCGGGGCAGGCGCTGGCGGGAGGCTCTTCTTGCCCACAGTCCTCGCCGCTGTAGCCCAAGTGGCAAACGCATACTCCCTGCACACACCGCCCACGGCCCCGACAGTCGGCAGGGCAGGTGCGGGTGGAGCAGGAGGGGCCTGTGTAGCCTGAGTCGCACACGCAGCGCCCGTTCTCACAGCGGCCGCGCCGGTGACAGTTGGAGGGGCAGGTACGGAGGCTGCAGTCCTCACCTGCGTAGCCCTCCCAACAGGTGCACACACCGTCCTGGCACACGCCGCGCTGGCTGCAGTCGCGCGGGCACCGTCTCACCCCGCAGTCTTCGCCCTCGTAGCCGTCGTCGCACACGCAGCGCCCCTCCAGACACTGGCCGCGACCTCTGCAACCGCCGGGGCAGCTGCGCGAGCCGCAGTCTTCGCCCTCGTAGCCTGCGTCGCACAAGCACACGCCGTCGTCGCAGCGGCCGCGACCGCGGCAGTCCCCGGGGCACCGACGGCTTCCGCAGTCCTCGCCTGTGAAACCCGGGTTGCACACGCAGCGGCCGTCCGCGCAGC